ATAATAACACTGTCCACTTCAAAGGGTTGATGTGAGAATTAAAAAAAATTAATACTTGTAAAGTTTTTAGAATTGTGCCTGTCACTCAAATGTTAATTCTTATATAAAGAAGAGTATTTTTCTTTTCTCATTGTACAAGTAACACCGAAAATTTAGAAATATAAGGAATTAAAAATCTCCCATATTCTCAACACACAGATGTAAAGTTCTCAGATATAATCAGTTAATATTCTGATATACATCTTTTTCAATTTGCTTCTTCCTCTAAATGTATATATTCATATGTTTTTAAACTCTTTTTACAAAAAAAAAAATTGTATCATACCATAGAGAACTTTATAAACTTACTTTAGTACTTATAATATGGAGAACATTTTTTATGTAATTAAATATTTATATGAACATTTTTAAATGTTCTAGTATTATTTGAAAAATAATTAAGCCAGTAAGGGCAGATTTGGCAGTTTGAAGTATCAAACGTCTTTCATGTGAGTCATAAAGGGAATGACAACATGAAAAAAATGTAATTTTCTACTCTAAATATTCAAACAGTAAAATTAAGAAATGTCAAGAGATTGTGCATAGAGCTTTTAAAATGCTAAAAATAGTATTAAGAACATTTAAAAATCTAGTTATGTTCTCCTTTTAGAAGGAATTTGATTAATTTTATAAAATAAAGTATTAAATTATTTCTCTCATTTTTTATTTTATGGATGTTTATAAAAAAAGAAATAGTTGTACTTTATTCCAAGAACAAGGACTTTTTGAGCTAATGCTTTGAATGCTTTTACAAATTTATCCAGGATCTGACAAGAGCAAATGCATTCCTCCAGCTATCGGGGAGTCTCGCCTCAACTCCAGTGCAGGCATGTTCTTGCCAGGCAAGAAGATGGATGGTCACCCATCCACGGAAAAAGCGCTTTGGAGTGGTGTTTGCCGGGGAAGGAGAGCATAGTGCAGATGATCTATGAGGGTGAAGAGTAGGAGGTGTCATTTGGAGCACCAATGGTGTAGATTTGGGCTCCAGGGATGGCTCAGGAATAAGCGGCATGGGGTCCAATCCTGCCATTTCTCCAATTCTGTAACCTCAGACAAGTCATTAAGTATGGGTGCCTCAATTTCCTCCTGTATCCCCTTCTAGTACCTGAGCACTAGTGGAGTCTACATGTAAAATGCTCAGAACAGGGTCTGACATATCAGACTATGCACTCAGTAAGATTTAGTGCTATCATTGTCGTCATCATCATCATAATCATCTATTAATTTTTTATTATCATTTATTATTGTTTTTATGATCTTCCAAGACTCAGACTTCCATGCTCTGCTTTGGATATCTCTGGATGAAAAAGATAGTCAGAAGGTAAGGAGGTCCCAGACCATTGTGTATGTGTGTGTGAGGGAAAAGACTTGAGGAAAAACAGCTTGCACTTGTCCCTTCTGTGCCACCCTGCTGCCCTCTGCCCAACCACTTAAGTGAAATCACAAAGGAAATAAAATTCATGCACTCTAAATGGCAAAAGAAGAGCAGAAATGTCAGCAACTTCATGGGTATCTTGGAGTCCAACACATTTTGTATGAATCTATAGCTATGTCTATATCTATGTCTACGTCTATGTCTACGTCTATGTCTATGTCTATGTCTATGTCTATGTCTATATCATCTATATCTATATCTATCTATAATCACCAAAAACATGGCTAGAAATGTCAAAGTTTATGAAACCAGCTACTTAAATTCTGCTCCTTAAATCAAATTAATTTATATTTTGGTCAAGATATTTTGTGTGAAGACAATTTCCAAGACATAAGGGCCCCCTCTCCCATACTTTAATGATGCTACTACCTGTGCCTTTGACCCTGAAAGGTAGTTTTCTTCTCCCTCCACCCGTTTTCTGAACTCTTTGCCTCAGAGATCCCTTATCACTCTCAGCTTCCAAATGTCTCCTCTCCCTGTGTAACTCCAGAATTAACTTTAATAACTGTACTTTTACCTCTGGTCTCAAGTGTTCAGCTACCTTGGGAATACCTCCGACTAGAATATATGGACAAACCAGGAGTTCAGCTTTTTAGAATCAGAACCTACTCTCCATTTCAAATCAATTTAATTCTAAAAATGGTTTCTGAGGGCAAAACCCCTATCATGCAATTAAAATTATTAGTTTGCTCCTTTACCTTGGCCTCCCTCACTAGGTAATAAACATAGAACCTGTGAATCTTTTATACTTTTTGTAGCTCCAGCGTCTGTCATAATGCTTGGTAGGAGGTGGGTAATAAATAAGTGTTTTTTAAATAAGTGGTTGAATGAACAATTGAATGAATGAATGAATAAATGAATTAGTAAAGAAAATGATATAAAGATGAATGCTAACTTGCCCCTGCTCTCCTCTGGCTCTTTTTCCTGTTTGGGAACACAAAACGGGCTGCAACAATGTTGTAACAGAAGCACCTAGGAAGCGAACTAGGAGAACAGGGGAAAGAATATGTTCGATGGAATGATCTGATGAACTGGAAAAGAGGAAAGACTTAAAAAAGCTTTGAAACACTGGTGGAACCTTTTCTCAAATCATTCATTACTGTCAGTACACCACAGAGATGCTACTGCAAATAATATGTTATCCTTCGCACTCTTACCTCAACATTCTAGAAGTTGAAGAGTACTTAGAGGTTTCTTGGGCCCATTCCCCCATTAAGCATATGTATCTTGCCCACGGTACTTTGGTCTGGCAGTTAGAAAATTTCAGACCAGATTATAGTTCACAATTCCAGATCTGGGATTCCAAATCAAGGTCACTCAAGGAGATAATGATCTCTTTGCCTTAAGAAACACTATTCAACCCTTCTCTTCAAATCCAGATGATTTCTATAATTTTTTTTTTTTTTTTACTCGAAATGTCTCTGATATAGTTGTTTCTTATAGTGGATAAGGTCCCTGTGCCTTTGAAAGAATGATAACAAAGTCTTTGCCAGTATCAAAATAAATACTTGACATATCTTATTTCTAATCTTCACTGAAAATCTACTAAATATGTATTTTTGTATCAATTAGGGCCCTTTGTAGCAAGTGACACAAATCCAATTCCAACATCATTAAGCAAAAAGAGAGAATCTGTTGGCTTACTCAATGAAAAGTGCAGAGTTTATGGAGGGCAAGCATAACTACATTCAAGGGTCCAAACACCCTCTTGGCATCTGGTGTCTCTTCATTTCTTGTTTATGTTTTCTTTCTTTGTTAGCTACTCTTTCTTTGTTAGGTGCTCTCCAGGGGGTGACCCCCAGCAGCTCCATTCTTATATCTTTATAGTTTCAAGTCCTTTGCTCAAAAGGCTCAAATCTTAGACAGTATGCGTTGGCCCTGATCAAATCATATGATCATAACTGATCCAATCATTGTTGCCAGGAGATTTGATGCTCTTATTGGCTAGATCTTAGAAAAATTCTCAGTCACATGCTCAAACCTCACTGTGGAAAAAGTGTTTATCCCTCCACCCCAAATTTAGGGTGCTTTTAAAATAAGAAATAAGGCAGAGACCCAGACAACAATTGATCATAACAAGTTTGATCTCAACTTCAAAAATGAAGTATCTGAGAATCAAATTAATTAAGGTCACACACCAGGGTGCAACTATAAAGCCAAAATCTGGCAGGAAACAGAATCTAGCTCAGGTAGTTAGAGACTAATGATGAGATAATTTGTAGACATGCAGACAGTGGTAAGGGGACCAGCAAAAGCTGTTGAGGAGCTGGGAATCCAGGCACAGCAGGGCCACTTTGGAGCCTAAGGGGCAAGAGCTAGATCCCAAGAGGAAAGGCCAAATCACAGGAGCAGTAGTGATGGAGAAACACCATCACTGCCAAAATAGTGAAACAGAGAGGGAGCCTGGAATGGAGATGAGATAACTTGATTTATCTCTTCTATATCCTGATCTTTCAGTACCTCCCACTTTGTTAGCTACTCTAACAAACCAGAACTAACCAGTATGGGATGAAGCCAGGACACAGAGCCAGGAAGAGAAGGGCAGGAATGGATGCAGAAGAAAAGAGGAAGAATAACTAAGCACTGCAGCTATGTATGTCAGTTTCTGAACTCAGTGCTAAATAATCTGAAAAGTTATATCTACGCCTTTACCTACCTTTTATATTTATGAGGAGTGTGCATGGTCAGAGACCTCTAGGTAAGACACTGCTCACCTGCAAACTTGACTGACCACTCTCCCTTAGCAGTTGGCTCTGAGAAACCTTGAATCTGTAGCTTCTGGTGTTTGTCTCTGTGGTGAACCTTCTACCATGGCACCACTCATCTCATCATACTGGTACTGAAATTCAGAATATTTTTATTCCATGCTTCACCAGAAAAATTGCTTAGATTAGAAGGAGCGTTAGCAGGGACTCCTTAGATATGATCCACTTTCTTTCATCTGAAGGACATTGATTGTCCTTTGGGAAAACTGAGATCTGGGCTCCAAGTAGAACTGACTACTTGGCTACAGGGACTAGCATCTTAAAAGCACAAGACCCTAGGGTTTAAGTTTAAATAAGAAAATAAAATCAGAATTCTGACCATGGAAACAAATGCCCCGGGCAATCTACACCTAGGGACCATCATTTTCCTAGCAGTACTAACACTATAAACTCTAACAGAGTGTGAGCTCTCTGAGCCCTTCCTCAGTGGGTATGTTGTGGGTATTTTAATGTTTCAGCACAGATATGCCTTATGTACCTTGTGCTTATTTTGATTTCTGGAAAATAACTTGTGTTCTGTCTCACAGAAGAAGATTAATTTAGGGAAACTGAGGCGAATTAGCTATCGGTAGTCTTAATTCATGATTTCCTGAAGGTTAACTGTTACCAACTCTTTTTGTCATCCCCAGTGATCTGCACTTGAATGGTCATGAACCTGGTCAGAAGAAGAGAGGACCTCCAGATCTGGAGGGCACACTGAGGTTGGCTGGTCCAAACTTCCACCTAAAATAGACTGCCATATGGTTTCCACCTGAAGGTTTCTCATGAGGTGGAGTTTTCCAACTCACTGTTGCATAAATTTGTATTATAAAATCCTTTTTAAATCAAAGTGGAATCTGTTTCCCATTACTCTCACTGATGCTTTCCCTGCCTTCTGCATCAATGTTGGATAAGTGAACACTGTCTTGACCACATTTAATCTGTTTGAATCCTGAAGATAGTCATCATATGTCTCTTTGATTTTTGTACAGAAGCCCAAGCTAAAAATGTCCATTTTCTCTACACCCATCCTCATATAACTCAATTTCTAGACTCCTTCTATCTTAGTTTCCCAGCAACAAATTCTTTCTAGTTTATTATTTTCTCCAGTAAAATGTGGTTTATGCTCCATGAGGTCTGACCCATACAGAGCATGGCTTCCAATGATTGGTTAGGATTTTGTTTTGTTTTCTAGCTGCCGTGTCATGGTCTAGGCTCACATTGAGCCTGACTTCGATAAAACCCCTGGATCTTTTCACATGGACTCCTGCCAAGCCACAGCTCCTCCCTCAATATCTGTGGAACTGATAGTTATAAAAATAACATTCATATTTTGTTTTATTATAAAAGCAATATGCAACAATTGGAGAAAATTTAGAAAATGCAGTTAGGTAACTCGGTGATTTCAAATTAAGATCAGCAACAATCTCACTATCCAGAGATATCTACAGCTAATACTTTGGTGATTATTAAGGGTAGCCAACTAAAATGTCAACAGGGCCCAAGCAGATTTTGCAAATTTGTGAAGCAAATTGAGAGTGAAACAGTAAGGCATAGGTGGGCTTATTGCTGGCTAAAGACATTAGCCATTATTCAGCTCAGATTGCCTACTACTCGCCAGAAGTGAGTGCTCTATAAAACCAGAACCAGATATTCTGATTTTTTTTTTCAAGAGACACTGAAAATGTACAATTTTATAATAAATCTATTTATTAAGTATTGGTAAATAATTTATGTTGGCCAAAAAAATGATGCCTTTGGACCCTTGGGTTTTGAGCTGTTAGTAATATGGCTTCTCTGGTGTATCCTTCCACCTTGCCTTCTTTCTTCTATCTCTCAGAAAAAAATGGGCTTATCCTCTCTCTATAACAACCAACATCGTCTGTGATCAGCTAACTCTAGATATCTTCCTTAGTGTACTGCTTCTCATGGATTCCCCTCTCGCTGTCCCTTTTCTCCCTCAGATGTGCTTCTTTCTCATCCTCCACACACCTTTCTCATTTCCACCACAGAGCCTGGGTGCTGGGTTATGTCCCTGCCTGAGCTTCACTCCCTTTTCAGAACTCTCACTCCACATCACAGCATTTCCAAGATTTGGTCCCCCAAATCCACTCTTTGCTATGCTCACCACTTTCATGCTATAGGCAAGGTCAGCCTTTGGAGTTTGAATGACCCAGTTTCAAGCCCTAATCTGCACTTAACTAGCTGTATTACTCTGTGGAAAATTGCTTTGACTTCTCTGAAACTTTATTACCTCAACCACAATTTTGGAAACAATGTTGCTTACCCTGAAAAATAGTTCAGATGATTAATAATAACATATATAAAACACCTCAACAAATCATAGCTGTCGTGATACTATTATGCTTGGTTTTAACCATAAATGGATGCTAATATTAACTGTTGTCCCCAACTTCGTTAGGAAATAGCTACCTTAAAATATTAATTGAATGAATGAATAAATAAAAGGATGAGTAAATGAATAAGGTGAAAAGCTATAAACAGGTTGGAGGATCCAAGTTATTCTTAAAGATAGAAATACAGGAAAGCACTCCAAACTGAAAGAAGAGAAAAGAGCTTACACTTGGTGACTCAGGTTCTTTCCTATCTAATCTTGTCTTTTAATGTTCCAAAGATATGTTGGCATCAAATCAAGTATCTCGTCAGACTGGTATTAGTTTTAATAATTAATTACTAAACAGCTGTGGACTCTGAATTTTCAAATATGCAGGAAACAAAATTCTCAACTCAGACCTCCTGGAAATAGCTTATTTAACTAGAGACTTGTCCCTTAGTTATCCAGTGGCAGACCTTTTCCTGAACATCTTATAAAGGCCTGGACATCCATACATTGCAGGGGCAGCCTCTGGACATATTCTCATCCTGCTCTGCCCACTGAAAGCGCCACCCAGCCCAACGTCAGAAATTGCAACAGTCTTTCGGGGTGCCTTAAGAGGCCCAATAAATATTTTTTGAATAAATTAATGGACCAAGAAAAAGTTCAATGGATAAAGATAAAAATCTTTTATTTACTCCCTTCTCACTCTCCTCTTCACTGGCTGTGTAACCCTGTGGAAAATTACTGCAATCTCTCTGAAACCTAGTTTTCTCATTCATGATACTGGGAATAATGATACTGGACATTTATTCTCTCACATAACAAGATGTCCAAAGGTAAATGGTTAAGCAGCTTGTTGATGTCTGGGCTCTAAGGTAGCCTCCCTGTGGTTCTCCTGGCTCCTTTCATGGCCATATGATGACTGCCATCAGATCCCCTCATGACAGCATTCAACACAGTAAGCAAAAACAAATCCCTAGAAGCTGCCAGCAGATTTCCCCTTAGGTTCCATTGGCCAGACTTCAGCCATATACTCAAATCTAAACAGAAACAGAAAGGATTGTTCTGATTGGTTTATACCAATTAGGATTCATGTCCTGGGGCTGACAGAAAGAACTCCCTTTTCCCTAGCAACTTGCATCCCCATATCCAAACAAAAGAGGATGTTGAACATCTATGAAAAAGAGGAAACAGTTGCTAAATAATGATGATAGCTATTATTTATTGAGTGTGTGCCAAACTATGTGCCAAGCACTGTTCTAGAGACTGTACCTGTGTGAATTCTTATGGAAAGGAGAACAGAAGCATTTAGAGGTTAAATCAATTAACCAACGGCAAACAGGAAGCAAGTTGGTTAGTAAAAAGGCCAGGATTTAAATTCAGGCTAATTAGCTCTAAAGTGTATGCTATTAACTTATGCTATACTATTAATCTATGCCAGCTTCCCCCAGTGGAGTCTGCCATCCTCTCCACTTGGTAAAACAGTCTTGGACCCTCCAAAGCAAGGTCTTAGACAAGTGAAATGAGTACTTGACAACTGAATAAGTACTTGAGTTGCCAGTACAGTTGCCAAGGCTCGTGTCTAGTGAATAATTGCTAATGATAATAATTTTTAATTATAATAATAATAATCTAATTTTTAGTAATAATAAAACCTGCCTATTGTAGGCCAGGGGTCCTTATGACATTATCTTGTTTGATCATTTGATTGTTATAACAGCCAACAAGTTCAATATTCTTTCCCCATTTTACAATGAAAAAATGAGGCTCCATGAACTTGCCCAAGTTGGTAAGAAACTAGGTTTGATCTCAGTTTTGCTTGATTATGAGGTCCATGCTTTTTCTCTGGCACTCTACAACCTATAAAAAATTAATAAATTAATAAAGTTTATATCTGCACTAATCAGGAATCAGATAGCACCTCCAACACAGAAGGAATTCCACTCATTTAATACCAACCAGGCAGAGTAATCACTCGAGAAAGCAGGAATTGTAAAGCTGTGTTAACTAATTAACCAGTAGGTTTAATCATGGAGAACAAGGGTCTATGTGAAGCTGGTCCTTAATATCAGGCTGAGGAGAGTTTATTTCCATTTCCGTTAAGACATTTGTTACATTCTGGCCAGTTTATAGTAAGTTCATTGCTGTCCTCAGAATGAGACTGTAAGCTCTTGGAAGATAGTTATATTTTCTTTATCTCTTGATTTTCCATGGTACATAGCACAGCTTTGTAGTTACTATTTACTCAAAACTATATGTGGCATTTTTAAAAAAATAATCTTTTTGTGTTGGAATAATTTTAGATTTAGTGAAATTTTGCAAAGATAGTACAGAAAAATTCCTGTACACTCTTCACTTAGTTTTCCTAGTGTTAACATTTTACATAACCTTTGTACATTTGTCAAAACTAAGACATTAGCTTTGGTACTAAATTAACTAAATTGCAGACTTTAGATGTCACCAGTTTTTCCACTAATATCTTTTTCTGTTCCAGGCTCTAATTCGAGAAATCACATTGCACTTAGTATGTGTAGCATTTAATTTGGAGATTTTTCATTACTTTAAGTGTCTAAATGTGGTAGAAAAATAACATAAGTATATACAGTTTTTGACTAACTCTTACTATGTGCTAGGCATATACTATCATTTTTCTTCACATAAACTCTGTGAGATAGTTACTACTGTTATCTCCATTTTATGGATTAGCAAATTAAGACAAGGGACATTCACGTCACTTACCTGCTAAGAGCCATGATTAAAGCTCAGATAGTCAGACTCTCAAATGTTATACATAAATGCAATATTTGAGAATAAGCTGCAAAAAAATGAAAGGATTATTTGGTGGCTTGTTTTGTTATTGTGTTTCAGTGAAGGTAAGACTGAAAACATTGCTATTCCTTTCAGACTTATTTTCCAGGTCTTCAAGTTTTCCATCCAAATCTTATGAATGAAAGAAGGGATGTATGCAGGGTCATGTGACTTGTGAAAGCAAAAGTGAAGGTCCTGACACCTAGTGTCAAACTCCCTTCCTGTCTTATATATTAGAGTGTCATATCCAAGCCTGGAATATAAATGATAAATGAATGTGGTTGGTCATCATTTTTCTCTATCATAAACCTGTGCCCAAGGGAGCTCTTCCTGGAAGAGCAGAAGTGTTGAAAGAAAAATGGAGGTGAACTGGCAGAGTATCATGGAGAGGTTCAAATGGCAGGCTGGCGTCTCCCTGACACAGGATGTTCTAAATGTGTCTCAGTTGCAGCGACTGGGGCTCCATTTATTTTACAAATGGAAGACTAATAAAATATCTGCATGAACAACAATAAAAAAATCCAAAAAATTGCAAAACTAAACTATTCTTCTTTAAACTCACAATTTTTCTCTTTCCTCTTGTTAATCAAGACAATAGTCTGTAGAACCATTTTTCATTTGAAAATTCTTATTGGAAGCATACAGATATAGTCATTGTATAGGTTTATCGTTACGGCTAATGGTTGATAAATTATTAC